TCAACTACTTGTCGCGCTGGTTGGGTACAGCTCGATCCAGACCACGCTCATCTACCTGGAGCTTGTGCCGGACCCGATGGGGAGTTTGGCGATGGTGCCGTAGCTAACTCACACCAGGGGATTCTCAAGCCACTCGGACTTCTCAATGAATGACTTGCTGGGAGGGCTGTCGAATCCCATCTCCACCAGATGCGGCCACAGTTTCCCGCTCAAGGTTGGAGTCCACGATGGGTCGAGTTCAGCTGGTCTCCCTCGAATACTATATAGACGTGAACGTATTCATCGCCATCGTGGTCGAATTCCCTCTCGACCAGTATGGGATCGAAGTCAAAGGTGTCACCGAAGCGTTCGCCAAGCAGTTGCCGAACTATATCGGTAACACGGTCAGTGTCCAGTTGAGTTACCATGAAGCGTACCTGGGAATTGTCGGGCTGCCGTCAACCCCGTCCGCCGGGCAGCACCCCGATGGGTTTTAATACATTGAGCATTATAGTGCTTTTAGCGAAAATGCGAGCAAGGGGAGCGTCATGTCCATCAAGCCTTCAGATACAACCGATGAGGACTTACCTCAAGGGCGCTGGCTCACTGAAGAAGAGGACATGGAGATGAAGGAGAACCTCGCCCAGAGGAACTTCGGCATGAGCCTTGTGGAGTTCACAGAGGCTTGGAAGTCAGGCGCGTTCGACGGCGACCGCGAGCGTCACGGATGTGGTATTCCTGGCGTCAATGCTGCCGGAGTATTGGACAGATTCTAATTAGCGCGAGTGAAAATAACCGATGTCGCTATTATCGTTTGAGGGGATAGCGATAACAAGGGCGTGGACCTACAAGGAAGGATTGGATACGCGTCGATTACAGGTTGTCCCGGTATCAGAAGTGAAAGGTGCTTCAATGTTCGATACAGCCTTTCTAAGCGTGTCGTTAATTCGCGACTGCCAGCCCTTGCCGCTGCTTCGGAAGTGGGCGGCTAAGTCGGCATCGAGCCTTATGGATATGAGCTCTTTAGTCGGTGCTTCTGCTTGCCGCGTGCGCGCCGGGACCACTCCACAAGCTCGGGGTCAACTTCCAGCGCAGGTCGAGCCCGCTCCCAATCCTCATCCGTCCATTCGGGAGAGTCAGGGTCCAAGGGTGATCTGCCGCTGTATCTCCACCTCTTCTTCATCTGTCGGAATGTGTATCTCTCGCTCGTTCGCGAACATACTGTCCCTTTCCTTTCTGCTCGCCAGTCGCAGGCTGATGACCGGGTAGCGCCTTCACGCCTTATGTACACACCTTGGTATAGCTTGTCGGCTATCAGCCCGAGAGCTGCCAATCGGTTTTCGCCACGTCGAGGGCTGGGAAGTGATTATTGAGTCTCCATTCGAAGTCGCAATCGTCGAAAACTGGGTCGTCCGCAACGATCTAGCCGCTTCTTCGATCAGCTCCTCGTATATCAGACGAGATTGTACATACAATTAGAAGGGCTTTCCAAGCGCTTCTCAGAGACCTTCTACCTCTCCTAGCCCGTCGTTTGCTTGGTTGTCGTGAAGGCGTCCGCGTCCGCGGATATCTCGGCCGGACAAGGTGACCGGTCCCGCCGCATTCCGTAAGGATTAGTGTAGTCGGCCAAAGCGATAATGGTCACCGAATTGACGACCGTCAATCTCCCGCAGGCCCCACAGCGTTATCCCAAAACACAGACAGCGTCACCCCCAAGCGCCAGAAGCGCATCCTGAGTACCTCGAGCCGACGAGGTGAACGCCATCATCAGGGCCGCGTCCAACCCGAAGGCGAAGCTGCTGATGCTGGAGCAATGGCGGGCCGGTCTACGAGTCGTCGAGGCGCTCGACCCTCTGAAGTGTCGTGCTGTCGCTCGATACGTCACTGACGCTGTCGTGTAGCGTATCCGAAGCAGCCCATGGCGGCATTCATAGCCGGGCGCAGCGCGCCACCGGGCAAGCGTATGGGACACGCAGGCGCGGTCATCACAGGCAGAGCCGCTCGCGCGGAGGAGAAAGAGAAGGTTCTCGCCGCTGCAGGCGTCGCCATCATGCCCGACCCCAGCGAAATCGGCAGCACCTTCAAGCAATCATTAGCGCATAACGGCGGCTAAACTCGTATTGCTCAGCCGCCGCTTCAAGCTTTAGCCTAGGGCACTTACTGAACTTTCTTAATTCGATGGGTTGAGATTGTTAGGGTAACAACTGTCGTTTGGGTTGTTGTCGCTATTCGTCCCGTCTGGGCAGGTTGTGTCTTCCCAGTTGACTTGGTGGATTCTTTGGCGTCACTCATATTCTCCGCCCCTGTTAGGTCGCAGTCCTCAAAATCTACATCATCTAGAATCGCATTGTCGAAATCAGCATCGTCGAAGTCAATGTCGATGAATTCAGCGTCGGTCAAGTCGGCTTCCGAAAGGTTCACCTCATACCATTTGCCATCTTCAAATGTGCCCTTTGACAGGTCCGCACCCTCAAGTTCCACATCCTCAAAGTCCACGCCCGAGAGATCCATCCCAGAAAGGTCGGCTTTGTGCAATCAGCCCCCTCAAATTTCGTCTTGGAATCGATGGTGGCACTGTTGAGCTTGAAGCTTTTCATCTTTGCACTCCTGAGGTCGGCGCCGCTGAAGTCCGTATCAGTCGCTGTGGTATTTCTGAGATCGGCGTGCTGAAGGTCCACATCTATGAAGTGGGAGTAGGACAAATCGGCGTTGATGAACCCTACTGACGTGAGCTTCAGTCCGGGATCGAAGACGATATTAGTAAGTGTCGTCCCTCGGAACATGGAGCCGTCATCGCCTGCATTGCCTGACCTAAACTGTGTTCCCGATAAAAATTCCTTGATGAACGTTGAGTCATCTAGGAACTTCCGAGCAAAGACACTTGCGCGTCATAGCTCATATTTCCGCTGAGGCACGAGTTGCTCGCGCTCGCGGCGCACTCTGAAAGCCATGCTCTCAGAGCGGGGATATCTCCCAGCGCGCGCAGGTATATCCCACGCGCTCCATTGTAGTCACGGTCCATCCGCTCGCCGTCCTGAGCGACGACCACGGATGCGCTGCCAAGACCCTCAAGCACCTCCCCGGTCCACGAGACTGTCTTGGACGTGTAGGCTTCATCCACATCCAGCACTACAGCTCCTGTCTCGGCAGCCTTGTTCTTGATGAAGAGCTTGAACTTGTAGTGCGCCAGGCTCAGCAGGTTACGCACGGTCTTGGACCTTATCCTGCGCCTGCCGCGCTCCACCATCTCCGATGTCTCGAAAGTTGGCAGCAGTATCACGTCGAAGTTGTTCACCAGAAAGCGCGCTGCCTGCCTGTGCAGCTCCTGTACCAGGTTCTCTATCCTAAGCCGCAGCCTGTTGGCCGCACGGCGCATATTCCTGCGCTTCCTCGATGGTGACTTCGCTGCACGGCTCATCAGGTCGTCATCTCTCACAGAGCCTCTGTATCCTGAAGAAGGCTCCTTCGCCTATCTTCCCACGGAGTCCGCGCAGTACCCAGGTCAGACGAGCGCACTCCGGTCGAGCGCCGCCACCCCGCGCTTGGTTCTCGCGTCTGGGCGGCAGCTTCTCGTCGTAGAGGAACACTCAGGTGGTACGTCCGTATCTCAGTGAAAGACGGCAGATGTTGCGGTTCTTGGGAGTGGGCAGGTTCTCGGCCATCCGCATGTCACTCAGCTTGCTGCGGTAGATGCCGAGGTCAGATACGCAGTTGGCCTGCACCGTGAAGGTCTGCTGGGTTCTTGCGAGAGCGAAAGCGCACATGGGCGAAATCTTCGTCCTGCCGCCTGCCCCTGCTCTTGTCTCTGGCAAGCTCGGCATTGCGCTTCTTCACGCACTGACGCGCGGCAGGCATCGAAGATGGCGCCCACCAGCACCTCGCGGGGCGCGCTCCTGTGCCAGGGCGGCAGTGTTGGCAGAATGACGTCCCGTACCTTTGTCTTGACGGCAGGTGGGCGTCCTCTGATGACAGCAGCTCCACTGTCTGGTTATAGGCGTATCTGGCAGCGCCGAACCAGCGGCGCAGCTCAGCCCTCTGGCGGCGTCCGGGTAGAGCCTTATCTTCCTTGATTTCCTTACGGTAGCGCCGCAGTCCGTTGACCCTGGCTCCGAAGACAGTGAGGATGGCGAGAAGGTCAGTCGTGAGCTCTTCTTCGGGGCTGAGGTCTCGCTGATTGAGAACCACGAGCTCCCCGCCGTTGCGCTCGAGCAGCGTCTCGATGAGTTCGGTTCCAAACCTCGCAAGACGGTCTCGGTAGGCGACCACAACACGGAGCTTATCTCCCTGGTGTAGTCGCTCCAGTATGGCAAGTAGGCCTTTGCGCCTGAAGTTGAGTCCGGAGCCGACGTCGCGGACGATCTCGGCGTCAGGGTATCGCTCTCGCATGAAGGCGACCTGCCTGTCGAGGTCTGCCGACTGCTTCTTGGACGAGACGCGGCAGTAGCAGACGGTCTGTGCTGGTCTGGATTGTCCAAGGTATGAATCGACATCATATCTGCGCTGGTTGCCTTCGGTCCTGATGTAGTCAATGCGACCGTCCCGCGCCCACGTTCTGAGTGTCTGTGGATGCACGCCCAGATATGCGACTTGCCTCTCTGGAAGTGACCGTATCTCATGTTAGATTATACAATAACATCCACACATTATAAATGAAACTGGGTTCTGCAAGTAGCCGCTTGGCTATCGCGGTAGTCGCCTTGTGCTGGAAGTCGTGCCTGAGATGAGTGACCCGGGCGTGAACCTCTCTGCGCCGCTCGTACATTCTCTGTCTGCGGGCTGACCGCCTGTTGTGGCCGTGAGTGTTCCGAGAGCGGGCTATCGCCTTGTCCACACGCCGCAGGGCCGAAAGCGCAGATGCCAAGGCTCTCGGGTTCTCGATGACTGTCCCGTCCGACAGTGTCGCGAGCGTCTCTTACGCCCATGTCAATTCCCACGGCCTCCCCCTGGCGCTTGGGTGGCGGGGCTGTCTTGGTATCCACGCCTATCGCCGCATACCAGCGGATGCCGTCGTTGCTCACGACCACGGTTGTGATCTCGCCCTCGAACCTGAGCTCCTCTCGCATCTTCACCCAGCCTATTCGAGGGAGTCTCACGCTCCGTCCGCACACTCGCACTGTGCCTCGTCCGTTGTCCGCCTGGTAGCTGTCGTGTACGCCGCGCTTGCGCCAGCGAGGAAAGCCGATGTATCGCGCAGGTCTGCCTTCTCTCAGCGCACGTCTGTACTCTCCCCACCTGGAGACAGCCTTGCCGACATTGCGTATGGCGTTCTTGGCCGCGTTCTGGCTGAGGTGGGTAGCCCACGGGAGCGAGTTCTGCCTTGCTTGCGTTCCAGCGTGGGCGCAGCGTTTTGTCGTTCCGCCATTCACCATCATCGAGTCCTTCTCGAAAGTCCTCGATGGCGCGGTTGGCGGCGAACCTGGCGTAGCCGACGTGCTCCCACAGCAGGCGCTCCTGGCTGCGGGTCGGGTTCAGAGCTATCTTGTGTGCTAAGATGTCATGAGATTAGTATACAAAGAATAGATCAGTCTAGATCTCTGTGAACAGTTACTAGCCCCTACTTCTTGCAGATACGGGATGTGGCGGAAAATTCCCCGATCACCGCGGCGAGCTTTGCTCCTGCTTCCGCTCAGGCGATAGCGGACCTCGACCAGAGCTTCTTCCTTGTCCGCTTCGACAGGCTCACGCCTCTGGAGAAAATCTATTTGAGGCGATGGCGGAGCTGGGCGCAGGTCCTCACCGGTCGGGCGACATTGCCCAGGTGATGCAGCGCCAGGTGCAATCTCTAGCGCCTACTCGCTCGAACCTGATCCGCAAGGGCATGGTCTGGAGTCCGAGTCACGGCGATACGGCGTTCACCGTTCCGATGTTTGACGAGTTCATGTTGCGGACGATATAGGACCCGACCCTCTAATAGCGCTTCCTAGTAGCGTTGTCGACCAATTTGCCCTGATATGGTAATATATTAGCTATGGTTAGTATATTACAACAGCGTGTACGACTGGGTCAGTGGGCAAAGCAGTATGGACTCACGCGCGCTGCCGCCTATCGCATGTACAAAGAAGACAGAATGCCAGCCAACATCAAGGTGGAACAGGTTGGCAGGCTGCTCTACGTCATCCTGCCGAATACCGACAGGCTCAAGACCATAGGATACGCCCGCGTATCCTCTCACGACCGCAAAGGGCAGCTAAAGACTCAGGAAGAGCGTCTTTGGGCATACGCTGGCAGAAACAAGATCATCCTCGATGATGTCGTCTCCGAAGTCGCGTCTGGGACTCAACGACAATCGCAAGAAGCTCAACGCCCTGCTGTCGGACCCTGATGTAGGATACATCCTGGTGGAGCACAGGGAGCGTCTGGCGCGCTTTGGCGTGAACATGATAGATGCCGCGCTGAAGTCGAGAGGTGGCGGAGTGATCGTCATAGACGATGCCGAGATAGAGGATGACCTTGTGCGGGACATGACGGATGTGCTCACGAGTTTCTGCGCCAGGCTGTACGGCAAGCGCTCCGCTCGCAATCGCGCGGAAAGAGCGATGGAAGCCGTGCGATGACGCAGGCGCAGTTCATAGACAGCGGCATCGTCGTGCCGCTCAGGCTGACGCACAAGCAGCAGCGCTACGCAGCCCGCTGCATCGGCATAGACCGTTACTGCTACAACTGGATGGTCGCCACGCATTCGCTGATGCGCAGCTGCTGGGGCAGCGGTATCAAGTGGGCTCGGACTGGCCGAGATGAAGCGTGTGTTCAACGAGTTAAAGCACGATGAGCGGACGTGTTCATCACCGAGGTATCGAAGTTTCGTGGCGGAGGGCGCCTTCGACAACTTCCGCTATTCGCTCTCGAACTGGCTGAACAAGGGTCTGAAAGCCGGACGGCCTCATCTCAAGCGCAGGAGAGCCACAGGGTCAGGCTCGTTCCTTGCCGCAAACGGTGTGGCAGTAGTCAGGTACGACGGACATCGACGCATCAGGCTGCCCGGTCTGGGTTCCGTGAAGCTCAGGCACGAACTTCCGGAGGGAGTGCCGTACAAGGTTGTTATCAAGAAGCGGAACGGCAGGTGGTTCGCCTCAGTCAACTATCGCCGTCCACCCATAGCCGCCGAGACGAAGACACACGAAATCGGCGGACTGGATGTTGGAATAGAACCGTTGGCGGTGGACAGCCTGGGCAACCACTACGAGAACCCGAAGGCATACTACCGAGAGTTGAAGAGGCTCGGGCGCTGGCAGCGCATACAGGCGCGTAGAGTGAAAGGTTCATCGGGCTGGCATAAGGCGCAGACGCGCATAGACTCCTGCCATCGTCGTGTCAGGGTTGCGGGAGAACGCGCATCACCAACTGAGTCGTGAGGTGGTGAGGAAGTATGCCGTACTAGGCATCGAGACGCTGAACGTATCGGGCATGGACAAGCTGCGTCATCAGGCAAAGGCCATCAGGGACGCGGCGATAGGCGGACTGCTTCAGAAGGTGCGCTACAAGGCGGAGTGGTACGGCACGGAGATAGTGTTGGCGGACAGGTGGTATGCCAGCTCGAAGACGTGCTTCGTTGTGGAGTGGTGAACGGGGAACTCGGGCGGGAGAGGCACTGGGTATGCACCGAGTGCGGAGCGCAACACGAGCGCAACGAGAACGCCGCACTGAATTTGAGGGGATTAGCGCTACGGGCGGTTGGCCCGGAAGTTATGCCACTGGACGGATGAGGCTCTGGCGCCCGGCAGCAATGCCGAGCGTGAAACCTGTCCGGGTGAAGGTGGAACAGAACCGTAATGGATTGATACATATCAATCTACTACATATCTGGTAACCGGATCGAAGTTGGACGCCTACACGGAGTACATAGACGTCAGGGTGTCCGAGGTTCTGGAGAACTGCGTGGCGCTGATAGTGGACGCGGCATCTAGCCGTACGACAGGGAGTCCGCAACTGCATTCTTCAGCCTGGTGTCCGCGAGGTACGAGCATGGCAGCATCATACTGACGTCGAACAAGGGTTTTTGCGGACTGGAGAGAGCCGCTGGGCGACACGGTGATAGCGACGGCGATCCTCAACAGGCTGCTGCACCAGAGTCACGTGCTCAACATCCACGGCGAGAGCTACAGGCTGAAGGACAAGCGTCAGGCCAGTCTGCTAACGTCCCACCGGCTGTTCACATCAACATATTGAGGTTGACACTGACGGAAGGTATAAGGATGAGGGTGAATCAAATCCAACTTGGCGAAAATGCCAGACGCCCAACTGCGCATTGACAACAGAGAGCGGATTTTCGCCGAAATGAGGAAAGGGCGCAGGCATGCTACAAAACAACTATCCCGTACCTGCAAAGTATGATGCAAGAAAGGGCAGCCTGCGCCCTGAGTAGAATAGCACATCAATCATGTAAATTAAACATCGTATAAGATTTAAATTATCAAAGTTCCTAGATTACTCAACCGTTCAATGGGCTACGTGATATGGGAAATAAGGACATCAGGGCAGTGCCCGGGCAATGGTTGGGTACGAGTCGGATGTTGCGTACCGTGCGCTTGGCCGTTCAGTACGGCTTCGAGTTGGACCAGGAGGCGGAGGCGAACATAAGAGGTAACTCACATACCGTCGCGCCATTCGCATCCGGCAGATCTCACTTCCTATCCGCATTGAGAGCGTCCAGAGACGGTCGTGCGCTGTGTTTGATGGACGAACTCTGGGATTGTTGCGCCGGATGATCGTGGGCTACGACCGCCTTCGGCAAGCCAAGAGGGAATGGGGCTTCAGATTGTCGCCTCCGTTTACGAAGCCGACGGCGGCGAGTGTTAGCCACTCGGCTGCCTGCTGACATCCGACAGCAGGCAGCCATTTAATTCCGGAGCCGGTGAGCCAATCCAGCCCTGGCATTCAAGCCACCGGGCATCGAAGACGCTGGTCGTAAAGCACATCGCCCCCAGTACCGAAACGCTTCCGATCGAGACCGTGTTCTACATTATTCTGCGTTCAGACGCGGAGTCTGCCATTCGACGGTCTGGTTATGGTGCCTCTTCGCCGTTGTAAAAAAGGATGACTTTAGTCATTACCTCTTCTGAATCATCTCACGATGACGCCGCCCCAACAGCGGTGGCGGCTCCCGCCCGGGACTCCCACCCGGCTATGAGCATCGAGCAGGTCCCGCCCAGGCCGGAGCCCGAACAGGATTGGTTCTCACCAGCCGATGCTGCGCTGCAAGCGCCGGTCCCAACTGTCGCGATACGGCTCCCCAGTACGACCACACATGCTTCACGCGCTTCCTCACGGGTACGCGGAAGGTGACGTGGCCGCCATTGTCCAGCGGAACTGTCCGCAGACGTGGGATTCCTTCACGACAACTGAGCAAACGACGGGCGAGCGCCAAGGCTGCTGCCTGATGCACGCTCAGTCCGTATCGTTCCATATACTTCACCCGGCCTATCACGGAACTGTACGCCGGGTTCACCTGAAAGACTTCCACTCCCTGCCGGTAGCCACGGGAGAGCACGTATGCCTTCATTTTGCCGTAGCTGAATGACGACAGCATCCTGCTATGCTTTGCAGATCCTCCCTCGAGCGCGGCCTTCTTCCGCTGAAAGTCCAGACGCTCTATGACGAGGGGCTTCCTTGCCTGACGGGCGTACTCCACCACACGTGTTACCGCATCACCAATTAGCGCCTCTGCCTGATGAGCGCTCTTGCCGTAGGTCACCAGCGGCACCGAAAAGGTATTGATGAAGTTGCCCGACCGGTCAGTCTCCGTGACGGCCAGATGGTCTGCGTTCAGGTCCACACCAATCGCTCCCAGCCTGCGATCGGTCAGGACAGGGGCCTTGACCATCTTAGTGGTGGCGAACACTCTCCAACCGCGCTTGTCCCTCTTGAAGCGATAGCTTATCGCCTGTCCCAGTCCACTCTTGCGTGCCGCTCCATCACCGTGCTGTCTGCGATACTTGCGGTAGTCGGCATTCGACCGCAGGGCAGCCACGATATGCTCGTGTCCATAGGCGAAGCGTACGTTCTCGATCACGACATACTTCCCGCGCTCTCCTGTCAGGCAGTCCGGCATCCTGAGACGCAGCGTGAGAGAGCCGTCATCGGCGATGGTCGCAACGCAGAGCTGGCAGCCGGCGGTCTCGTCGCGGCTGCCCAGCACGAAGAACTCGCTGCTGCGAATCTCTCGCCAATCCGCGAGCCACCCTGCGTGGTTCGCGTAGCCGTTGGCCTCAAGGTCGTGCTGAGCGCGCCAGAGCTTCTTCGAGCCGAAACTCAGCCTCAGCCTTCCGTCAGCGATGTCCTCACTCACCTTCTGAAATCGATGCCGTAGGTTCTCAAGGCGCCTGCGCTTGTGGTGGACCTGGTGTAACTCCCCCTTACGACTGAGGCTCTGAAG